CTCGCACGGTTCAAAAGTTATAGCTTAGGTTTAAGTTGACAACAGACAGACAAACAGCTAAACAGACGGAAAGGGCAAAAACAATATACGCCCAGAATCCATCGATACACGTGCATAAAATGATCAATTATTTCTTTTCACTGTTGAATTAAACACAAACAAATACTATAGTACCTTTGCATATAAACTTTCTGCATTACAGAATACATTACACAACAAAATCAATAACGGTCTGCCATTTTTCATAATCACGATCCATGTTATCCTTTTTTTTACCAGATTGGAACAAGATGATTATATAAACCAAAAAGCATTGTGTGTCGTTTGAAAAAGAATTATACAGAAATACCTACCTGGAAGTCATCACATCCAATATTTCGAAATTCACAAAATTTTCTTTTTTATTAAGAAAAAATGTGGTTTTAGTTCTTTTTCTTTATTTACACGTACTGTATACTTAGTTAAACTGCTACGATCATAGACGCAGTCCCTGATTTAATTTTTAAAATATGTCTGTCTAAAAAATAGATGATTACAGTACTTTAGCCATATAAAATTAGAAACATCAATCACTGCTACATTTTTCCAGACACTGCATGTATTTTAATGTCGTCAGTTAGGAATTTGCTGTTTATGGGCAATCAATAATGTTGCAACATGAACAGAAGTTATTGGTAATCAATAAAATTTAGAAAGAAGAGCTAATGAATTATTTCATAAATCTATTTTCTAAAAGGCCAAAAAAAATAATATAAAAGTAAACAGTAGTACATGTACTTACCTCATAAAAGCTGATATAAATGCTCATGTACACAGAGAAATGTCAACAGTCTATTTATGGATTTGGTCTTTCTTTAATGCAGTAATTATTCAACTTTCGGTTTATTTGTTTATGATGTCAGACTTTCTGATTTATTTTTTAATTAATTCTAATACATGTAGCGATATTAACTGTTTTCTGGCACATTTAAGACTTTTGCAGTTAGATAGGACTGTAAACATGTGCATAAAAACATTTATTTTCAAAATAAAATAATGATTATGATTTAATGTATGAAACCTAAGGTGAACTAAATCAGTGACGCAGCTCATGATTTGTAAATAGAACTTTAAATTGATTTAAACATACACCTCTTCTTGGCTCATACAATAGATCCTGACAAAGTTAAATTAAAAAGAATAAAGGATGATTATAAAGGGTTAGTTGTTATTGACAATTGTACATGCTTAATGCTCAATGAATTCTACACAACAGTTAAATATGAAAATTAACAGATAAATAATAAAAGTAGTGTATTTTGAAAATCAAATCTTTTAGTCACTTTTATGAAAATATCCTTGACCTGATTGTGTTTATATATTCAAAGCAAGACAATAGTTATACCACTGCATGAGGATGACTTAAAGCACAAACTTAATAATGTTAATGGAAGAAATTGTTTGCTTGTAATCCGTCTAAGTTTTGATATGTACGTTAATTTGTCATTCTTTAACATATTTATTTTTAAAAAATCCTGATTTCTTTCAGACGCTGATAGAATCCCCACTCTCGTCGCAGAAATGATATTCCCACTCTCGGATGAAAATATACTATAGATAAAATATAAATATACTCAACAAAAAATAAACGCATATTCAGATTGAACATGATAATCTAAGTTTTCACGTTAAGCCTTCTATTTTAAAAGTGATTTTAGAGAGTGTCGTGAAGAAATCAAACAAAACCTAGGTTGTAAATTGAAAAGTTATGTTGACGTCATTGTCGTCACTTCTAAATTCTAGGGGCATACCATCTCAATCAATTTATGTGTCCTTCACAACTTTTTTTGAGTATAGATATTTTTGCATACAATGCATTATTTTTAATTCTAATTTTCCATGTACTAAAGAATGCAGGCAGTTTCTTTATACAAAAATTTTGGAGTTGTACATACTTTAGAAATATACCAATATTTAACTGTGACCATTACATTTTTAAAGGTACTGGCCCACTACTGGCACATTTGTATTTCACAGTTGTATTTCGTTCGACAAAACCTTCTTTTAGATTTCAACAATTTGACTTTTGACCTTGAAGTTGAACATGCATTTGTGAGAGTTCTGCATAAGCTTCCACACGCATGCGATGGCATCAGTGTTTCTAAAGCACATTTTTTTATATCTTGGATGCCGTACAAATGACAATTTGATTTCTGGTATATTGTTTTTGATTCTCATCACATATTTATACGTAGTTTGTATGAAATCTAGTTATGTTAATTTTTCGATAAGGGTTAGACCTTTAATCCAATGTCAAATGTTTGCTATTGACAAACAAAATACAAAACGACCATTTTAAAAATATTTTTATTGCATCTTTACATTTATTTCTAGCATCTGAAATGACCGAAAGTCCAGAAAGAATGCTACCTTTAAATATATATATATATATATATATATATATATATATATATATATATATATATATATATATATATATATATATATATATACATAATTATCATGTTATATATTATACTGTTTTGTCTATTTATAAGGGTATGTGATATATATTAGCGGTTTTTTTTTTTAAATATCATTGATGTTACTAAGTGCGAAGTTTTGAAAAGACGACAACGTAACATAATCTGAAAATACCACACACTGATACACATCAAGAATATATACTGTAATTTCTAAACTTCTAAATTTTCAGTGCTGGTGAGCTCAGCATCTTTTGTGAGATTCCATTAGATCACTTTTCTTGTTTTTTTTTCTACCCATCCAGTCTAGGACTAGTGGATGTTCCCCTAAACAACTATCATTTATTATATTTTTCAATCTTTCTTCACAGAACAAATCCACCATGTCGTCATCTGCTTTAATCGTGAAAGGGTCATCACAATAGCCACTTGGTCGGACAATTTGAAGGATTGCATCCAGATTGCAAAAACGCATTATCTCTCTAGGGTACTTTTTGTAGCTTGCATGAAACGCACAAATATAAAGAAAACTAGAAACGATCTCGTTGCGAGGAACGAGAGGTCTTCCGTCCGATTCAGGAAAAAAAATCTCGTAAAATCGAGCTGAAAAGTGATTCAAAATTTTGGTCGCAAAGAGGATTGAACCCATGTTGCCTTTTTCTGTTTTATCCCCAACGCGCAAACCATTAAGCTTTTGGGAGTACTGCTCTAAATATACTTGTGTGTATACTTTTGCTACAGTACAACTGTCTAAGAATCATAAAAGGCGGGTCACTATTAATAATTTGCGCCAAACGCCACGAGTAAATATTCGCGCATTTTCTTTGAACTTATCTATTAAATAGGTGTGATAGCTTCAATGAAATAAGATAAATAAAACGTTCTTATCGCCTTTATTTTATTTCGACGTTTAAAAAGTCTTTGTATACATTACAGATATCGTATCTAGCCCAGTTACACTCAAGTAGTGAAACGGAAATTAAGTGTTAAGATTGACACTGAATTGCAACGAACTACTACGTGAAAGTCCAAGAAGTTTTTTTTACATTTCATGCATTCGTATGTCAGAATGGTTTAATCAAACGCTCAGCTGCCTCCATAAACCCCAATTGCGAAATGGCGGAATTGACAAAGACAGCCGCCATCTGGGGCCCGCTTCAGATTTTCAAATATTAATATCTAGAATTCAGATAAGCCAATTTTCAAACAACTTATATAGTAAGCATCAAATTGTTAAGATGAATACTTTTGCTCAGTAATGTATAACAAAATATTGATCATTAGAGAGTTATAGATAAAAGACTTTTGGCCCCTCTTAGCCCCTAATTTGAAGGGTCAGTCCTATTTTTTTGACATCAAATGAAAGGTCTTGAGATGTTGCACATTTTGTCTTCAATATGTTTTAACAAATTATGAACAGGTGTGAAGATATGAGACAAAATGCGTCAAATTTTGTGAGATATTTCTGAGACATTTTTTCGGCCCTACCGAACTCCGGTGCCTTTTGCGCTAGAAAAATTTGGAGACCCAATTACAACTCACTAAACCTTCCTCTATTTTCCCTGAAAATCTCACGTCCATATCTTAGGTCGTTTCGGAGGAGTTTCCCGGACAAGCCGACTCTCTGAAAATCAGAAAATCGTCCATATCTCACGACCGGAAGTGAGATAATCAAAAAGGAAAAAAATCTATCAAGATCAATTGAATATCTTTTAGATCTGAAAGTTTGGTAGAAATCGGACTAGCCATCTCTGAGAAATCGCTTGCACAAAATCGGTTGGAATAATAATAATAATAATAGGGAAAAAGAAACCGAAGAATAACAAGAAGGTCTTCCGTTGGAGACGAAAGACCTTAATTATGCGAAAAAAAACAAGGAAGTTTCTGTCACCTTTGTCTTGCTTTTCCATTTCACTGAATCTTTCTGACCACATCGAATCTAATTTCTTTAATGATTTTGTGTACTTATCAATTCTTTCATCAACTAATAATACATCTCTCAAAATGCCAAAAGCATTTGCTATATCATGTTTAAATTCATGTTGTTCATAATACCCCAAACATACAAAATATGGGAGCCAAGACCAGAGTTTTTCACCTTCCATTAATCCTTCAAAGTGGTTGCACATTGCTTTCAGTGGACCTGTTTCTTTTTTTAAAAAGTCTGGGATCATTTTGTGATCAAATTTCATTAATTTAACAACAAGATATATTCCGATAGGATCTTGAGTGATTCGTGACACTCGTTCGTATGTCAAAGACTTACAATCACAACAATTGTTTGAACAAGAGTTCTGAAGCAGTTCTATTCCTCCTTCTATCTTTTGTTTTTTGTTAATAGTGGTATTGTCAAGCAACACACGGTCATGTTCTTCCATTCGGATCCCGCTTTTTATAAATTTGTCTTTCATCTCTGTGCGAAGCCCAATTACAAACTTTATTTTTTCAAGTTTTGGGCTTTTTTCAATGACCTTTACCATCGTTTCGATTGAAAGTCTTTTTTCACATGGGTTTTCGTTCCACAATCCACCCCATCCATCAATGAAATAAACTGTGTTTTTTTGTTGGAGGCTCAAAAAAATCCTTAGTAATGTCTAAGTAGTTATAGTATTCGCTAATCATGTTATTACTTTCAGCGAATGCATCTGCTATTTTTTTTCCAGAAGTAGAGACAGAATTTCCAAGTTTTCCAACTACGTAAAGGATATTTCCGTCATTCAGTAAATGAATACCAACTCGGATATGCTCGTCTTCAGGAGATGCATCTAAATTCAAAGACAAAAATGTGCAACAATTTTGAATTTGAAAATTAAAATAACACATTACTTTTAATTCAAGTATTCAATCTACAACTTTTTCTACATAAATTTGTAGGGAAAAATTAATTCTTACTCATAATGCAAAATGAAACAATAAAAAATCCATTTATACTTCGTTTTATCTTCTAACGTGGTACAATGTAGCAATGACAGTGTGAACATTGTAGAAACACAGGCGGAATAAGGAAGCATACAGAATATTCTACCTTGACTACCTCAGTGATATATTATGACGTCATAGTAGGCGAGATGACGTTTACTTTAGAACAAGTTTTCGTGATATTGGTATTTAGAGATGTTATTTACCTCTACAAATGAATAGAACCGTGTAAAATTTAACAAGAGGAAAATGTTTTTATTTTGTTATGCTGTATTCTGTCATTTTTGATTAAAATATACTACCGATGACGTCATATGTGTACATTATGTAATTTGGGAATTGATCAAGTCGTGTACAGAGAATTTGGCTAGGACGAAAAGATACGTGAAATAGAGTTTAATAATTTGTTAAATTCATATGGAGTTCAGTCAATAAAACAGGTATGTTAACTTTTTTCCATCGAGAATATTCTCTTTCGAAGACAGCCAGCTATAAATGTATCCCGGTTGGCCTTTCCTGTGTCATTTCTGGCAAAAATAATGCACCAGAACTACAATAAGCTGTATATTTCAAAAATAAGATTTGTACAGATAGAAAGTTTGCCTCCTCTAATACTTGGAAAGTGCTGCTAGAATCCCGAGTTAAGCATGGCTTAACGAAAAATCTCGGTTCATATGTGAAAAAATTCAAAACATCGGGTAATGTTTCGTGCAAATGTGTGGAATAATCATTTTACCGATGGGGCAGTAGGATTCTAGCAGCACTTTACAGGCAAAATAGATATTTTCTCGGCTATATTATTTACTCAAAGAAATTATTAAACTCCGAAATATTGTTGTTCTGTTAGCTTTTTTATTAAGGAAAATATCCCTATAAATAGAAGTCACGTGCTGCCGTGGTGGTGGTGTACGTCGTTGCGTTAGACACTATTTTATCTTTATACAATAGATAATCATAGTTTACGTTTATCAGCGGATCATTTCAATTTAATTCAGAAAATTTTCTTTAAGAATCCCATTTGCTCCTAAACATGAACACAGGGTTTGGTCTTGTTAATATATGTACACAGGTACGATAGGGCTTCCCAGAGAATGTTGCAGTGTTCTCTGTGCATGCACTTTTCTTAACTAGAAAAGCATGATATCATAATCGAAAATGACGTCAGGTCACTGCAAACTTGAGCTGTAATGATGGAGATAGTGTCGTATACGTTTTACCGTATATCATTCTGCATCAATTGTAAAGTTTCAAAATGCTGGATTGCAGTAAACGTGTGTTAATCTTTATTTAAAAAAATCTTATAAATCCGAATAATTTAGATAACTGTTTTATTTCTCTTGTTTAAAAGACGGCGTTGTCAAAATATGTAAGAAAATATTTAATGTTTGATATTTGCCCCTTTATACCCGTGTAAAAAAGAGCCTGGCGCAGGTGATTGATGAGTACATGTATTAATTTGGAGTCTTTTGTGAAAATGTGTTAGACGAGTTAGAAGTTGTTGTGAAATATTTTGTATCAGAGTAATAGCATAACTCTTCCCAAGCATATTTCGGGTTGTAAAGGATGCAACGAGTTTATTTACATTACAAAATTTATAAATAACTTGGTATATGGCTGCGCCGAAGCGATTCATGTGAAGCACTTCAAAAAGGTAAAAATGACCGTCACGCGATCATCGAAGTCATGTGATATCGTTACAAATATGTTAACATATAGCCTAGGGAAATCTCTTCATGAAATGGCTGTATTTACGTTCATAACTTTAAAATAAAACTTAAAAACGACCTTGGAATAGAGTTTTAAAGGCGTTTAAATCTATGGAAAGCCTTAACGGTATTGCGTTATATATTCCTGATCAAGGATTTCAGATTTTTTCCCTGTATTCAAAGTTGCTTCTTCTATTCTTTCGACAACGTAACTTATATATATGTATACTTATATATGTATAGAGTAATAAACAATTATCATCTGCATATGGGGTAAACGTCTTTCAGTTAATTCAATTAATCAGATCATACTTCATGTACGGACAATTTCTCAAACGAACAAGCTTTTGATTTACAATTCAAGCTGTTAAAACAAGGATAATGTGTGATGTGCTTTTACAATTACGAGTTTGTGATGTGCTTTCACAATTATTTTGTGTGATTTAGAAATTACATGGTGATTACATTTATTTGTCATTATGCGAAGTGCATATTTTATTGGATCACGCACACTTTTAGAAGCCATTGCGTTGTTTGTTTAAAGTCTTCATGTGTAATGCAAACATGTTTAAGTGACGTGCAAAATAATCGAGATGGAAACTTTTTTCCTCTACAAAAACGATAAAAAAAAATGAAACTAAAGACTATCAATTAAAAAAATTCCTTCTATTAGTGTATATAATTTAACGTCGAAGTGCGAAGTTGATCCTAATTACGTCGCAGGTTTGAACACCACTGTGGAGCGTGGAAACAGGTCCTCGTGATGAGATCATATAAACCGAGTCCCCTGCCGCAGTAGGCACTGGCATGAGAAAGATCCTTAACAACTTAATGGTCCTGATTGCCGAGCAAAAGACAGAATTTGAAGTTCTCCATATTAATGAAAATTCTCGAGAGGGTCTTTTAACAATATACAATAAACTACTTTGATTGAACAAGTCAGAAGTTAGGCATATACTAGGAATAGCTAGGGTGATATTCAACTCTGTAGAAATTAAATTTAATAAATCTCAAACCAAAATATTTGATATTGAGTTTATTTGAATGAAAATTAGTTCAGAAGGAATATTTTAAACAAGAAACCCCTGTCCAATTTATTTCTGAGTCATCTATTGTTGTATATATGTAGAAGGAGAGAAAACGACGTCAACGTTATCAACAACATACGACGTGTACATCATGAAGAGATGTTTACTCCACATATAAAGGCTTTTGAACACGACGTAGTGACTATTAATACATGTAGTACATGATCGTAAGAAAAAAGAACTTCACATAATAACAAAACACTTCAAATTATGACAAATGCATTGTACACACCACATGATGACAAAGGCACATCACATAATTACAAAAACGTATTGAAAAATATCAAAGCTGCTTTTCAAAATGATAAAACCATTTATGCAACGCATAATGTAATAACAATGCAAAATCTAATAAACTGGATTATTTCATTCTGCGTTATTACATTTTGCGTCGAAATCAACGCAAAATGAAACAACACACCTACAGAGTGTATTAAGATACTTACATTATGCATTTTTACATATTGCGTCGATATCAACGCCAAATGTAGTCATGCAAATATATGTAATAAAAACATTTTTGGATATTACATTTTGCGTTGTTACATTTTGCGTCGAGATAAAACTGAAGACAAAAGCGCAAAATGTAATAACACACTTTTTTGTCAGCCAGGTTGAGCATGATTATTTATGGAAAAGATTTATACGTACTGTTTTTGATCAGATTTTCTAATTCAGAAACACCAGCTTCGTTTCCAGAGGTACCTGTAGAAGTAATTTATGCATTGGTTTAATGAACTAGATTCCGTTTTGCTCGCATTTATTAAATGTATTCTATATCTCAGGAGGTGTTTGATTGTTACATATGTAATAACAAGATCTCCACTATTTTCCTGAAACCAAAAAAAAAAAAGAGAATTTTTGGGTATCAAGTACCATCTATTTATGATAATGAGAATATTTAACAGGGATACGTAATACTTTTTGTAAATGTATGGAAATATTCCGTGTAAAAAGAACATAAACATTATTTTTGCAAACTCCAAGAATGTGCCCTTACATTAATAATTTTGTATTTATTTAAAGAGACTCCGACCACCAGGTTCTAAAAATCAGGCATTGACTGATTGAAAAATTCCACAAATATGTCTTTGAATTCTCAGAGTAATCTGTTTTACACACGGTGATTCTTCAAACGTCATCTTTCAAGTTAATTATGGTATATGGGAAAACAATCTTTTTAGCAAATGCAAATCAAAATACTCACTATGCATTTCCAATTTAAATTTGATTAACAATCATATTTCAGAAATAAAACTCATAGATTTCCAGGCTTTTGAAGAAATTGTACAATTTTAATGCATGTTAAATTCAAACAGGTCTTTGAATTTCTTCTGGTTACCTCGAAAATTTTACAACGGATAGTGTATAAAGAATTTTCTATCATTACAAAACACCATAAAGTACTTCATATCATGTTGATTAACATTTATATTTTGGTTATATATGTATGTCAAAAGAACATCAAGTTTTTGAAATATGCATATCACCTTTTCAAAAGAGCTTTCTGGGAGTTTCATAGAACCCTTATGCACATTGAGAGGCATAAAAAAAAAATTGTTGCATAAAAAGAATCTATTTTTAAGCTTTATTTTGAAAATCCTAACATTTTCGGTTCGAATCTCACTGTGGGACATTAATATCGGTCCTTCGAATAAGACCGATTAAACCATTTCCCCGTGTCACAGAAGGTGCTTCCACAAAATAGTCCTCGCTTCTAAATGGCCCTGAATGCGGAGTGTAGGACACTTGCAAAGATAATTATGTTACTAAACAGTTAAAACAAATGAATGAAAACTATTCTTGATTATTTAAAGTGAGCAAATGAAGAAAAAAGCCATGATAGGGAATCTACGTGTTTGGGGGTGGGGTGGGGAGGTGGGGGGGTTTACATTCAGTCCACCCTGAATGTAAACATCTGTAATCAAGGTAATGCAAAGGTGGACAGATAATTTCATCACCAGCTATCATGATAATTGTTATTGATTTTATGATCAACTAGTGCTTTAAATGCATGAAAGTAAAAACTTGATAACTTAATAACAATTTACGAAACAGTGGTATTCATTTCCCTAGATGTGCATATTTTTATGGCCAAAGGATAAGATATCCCATGTTGATTCTTGTTAAGATTTCATGAACTGCTGCTGCACAAACGGCTTTTCGGGGGAATATATATTACAATTTCCCCTCTAAACATATTATGAAGATCACTTGTAACGTTTAAAACATATTTTATTTACATTTTTGGTTTTTCATGCTTAATAAAGTCGGGAGATTTAAAAAAAAAAATCTCAAATTCGAATTTTATTTTTGACTTATTCCTCAAAGAATAGGGACGGCGGATCCGTAAACCAGGAAATGAAAAAAAGATGTGGCCTAATATACAGACCCTAAAACGTGCTACTACACCTCAGAAACGAACCGTACCGTTCCGTGCACAAAGCGTACCGTACCGTGAACAAAGCGAACCGTTCCGTGCACAAAGCGTACCGTTCCGTTCTCAAAGCGTACCGTACCGTCCACAAAGCGAACCGTTCCGTGCGAGAAACGAAACGTACCGTCCTCAAAACGAACCGTACCGTTCACAAAGCGTACCGTACCGTCCACAAAGCGTACCGTTCCGTGCAAGAAACGAACCGTACCGTCCTTTGCTTAATTATGCAAACCACGCCCCCAATGATTTTCGAACCGTGCAATGACAAAATAAGTCACTTTGATTTATTTCTCGCTATGGCGCCCGTGAAGGGAGGTCGTAGGTTGTCCCTGGCTGTTCGAAACACCATAATCAAGTACCACGCATCTGGGCTTTCATCTGTAAAAATAACGAAACTACTCGAAGCAAACTACAACTTCAAAACAACTAGACAGAGTGTAAGACGATTCCTTATTCGCTACAAATCAACGGGTTGTGTTCGTGATACGTAATTTTCTTATTCATACGGATGAGATATCATGTCATGTGAATATGTTACCCAAAATTATAATTTTCCAACTTTGTTGAGCTTTTTAAATAGTTATTTTTTTTTTTACTAATTTCTGCTAGCGAAAAAAATTTGCTTTGGACATTGAACATGGGATTTAATGTAGTGTACGCAAAAAATTGTTTAATCGTCGTTTGTGATCTATGAACAGATACATGTGAGAAATGGTAACGAACTGAAGAATCATTTTTAAGCTTAAATGTTGAAATGAAAATATGTAAATCCCTTTGTCTTGTGCATATTTTTTTTTTTTTTTGCGTACGATGTACGTTAGTTTACCCACTCTTTCTATGTTAGTTTACAATCATCAAATAGACAAACCATTTTACACCAACAAACTAAATTGCACTATGTATTTAATCTGTTATGAGTAGGGGAGGAACAGCTAAAGTCGGACAGCATCGAATGTTGGACACTTTTCTCTTTCAGAATAAAATCGTTTCTAAATTTAGTGTCATGTGTATTTTTCTTTCAGTATCTCCGTCTACAGGGTTGGTTGTTTCATGCAAACATAGTCGTGAAAAAGTTTGAAATAATGTATAAAATTAAGAGGATACATACGCATCTCAGGGATCCGGATAATTTTCGCATGCGCACCGAGCGCGCACCTGTCGGCAGTGACCTTAGTTATTTCTGGAGAAATCTTCAGTTTGCCGTCGGTACTCCGTAATAGCCTATATATTTTGTAATTAAATCAAACTTTTAAATGAATAGTATTACTTATTCCCATAATAATAATTTTTTGGTAGATGTTTATTAAGTAAACTATTAAAATTAAACTATCCGACTTTATATTCTCGGTCATTTAAAGTCGGACAAGGAAGAATTTGAAGTCGGACAGCACATTATATTGAATAAATTGTTGTTTTTTTTTCAATTGTCATATTTTTAAATACTAGAACTTTTTTTTATAATGTTATTATACTTACTGGTCATTTAAGAGTATTTTAGCTTTTGCAATCAAATTTTGCCGATTCGCTGCAACTTTTTGAAGGAAGAATTTATTTAAAAAAAAAAAAACGTTTCATCAATTGCCTTATAGAAATTGTTTCATTTCATAAAAAAACAATGAAAAACACGTAAAGCAAAACCCATCTCATTGAATTTTAACAGCAACAGACTGATATAATATAACAAATAAATAAAATACTGTAGACATAAACCGGGGGAAATACATGTAAAAGGTGAAAAGGAGAACAAAGAGAAGGAAAGAAAGTCTATCAAAAAAAAATCATTTTTTCGTGGCTTTATTTGAGTTTCATGTTTATAACTCATCACTCATTCAGGAAAGGAAAAGGTTTCTTTTTTGAAAATTAAATATGTTTCAGATTACTGATTCTAAAGTAAAGATGGTAGGATAAATAGTTTTCTGTTTATAACCATTTAATAAATGTATAAAATGGGATTTATTTTGAAGACAATTTAAACCCAAAAATTATTCACACGATAACGCATTGGTTTATAGATTATAGATCGCATAATACATGTACTATATATGCTAATTAAAATTTCTTGGTATATAAATGGAAAAATTATCTAAATAATCCACACGATTATACTAAGTACATTACGTAAACTAATTTAATAAAGTTTATATGTTCACGAATCTTTTCCCGGGCTCTTGGTATCATTTTTGTACGCTGAGGAGGGGCTTACAAATTTAACACAAAAATCAACTTACCTGAGTGGAGAAAAAAAAGCGACAAGATAGAAAGAGTGGGTAATTGTCCAGGTTGATGGGAGGTATACGTACTTTCAATTTTATTACATATCTTTCAAAACCGAATTTTATTCATTCATTACCAGATTACCTTGATTTGACTGTAAGATATAAAGGTGGAGATGATGAAAACAGCCTTTCAATGAACTTGAATTTTCAATTGTGTAAAGTAAATTACATGTTTTTTTTGGGGGGGGTGGGGGGTGAGAGGTCAGCCCCCCATCCAACCCATTGATACTTTGTGCATGCTCCATTACAATCAACACCTAAAAAATAAAGTAAATTGGACTTTAAATGCCGAAAACAGTTTGTGTCCGATTTTAAATTCTACATGTCCGACTTTCACTGTCGCTGTCCGACTTTATCAGCCTATGCCTTTCCGTGTATATTTATTAAGTCAGCTGCTACAAAGGACATTTGATTAGATACTTATCAATTCGAAATTAGGGGGGAAAGTTTGTGGTAAGGTAGGGGTGTTGGTTTCGACAGTTACGGACTCATATCACTCATATTTTTTTTTTTATTTCAATAGCGTATAGAAATACAAACTAAAACAGCATCAAAGAAAATTTAAAATCTGGATTATGTAAAGGGATTTGTTAACGATAAAATGACTACCAATAGTATAAGGGATAGTTTGAAACACTCAAGATTTGGTAGTTCTCTTTTTTAATTATTTGTACAAACTGATACCTCAAGCACTATAGACTAAAAACCGTACTCTGAATTACATATGCAATGTTCAATGTATATCAACATGAAAATAAGGTACTGTGTTCGCATTTTAAATACACTGTACTAAAAAAAAATAAAGAGATGTACTTACAGATTCTTCTACTGCAGAAACAGCTGGAGTGGTTGCGACGGCTTTATATCGGCCAACCAACTGAAACCTTTAGCCCAATCTATTGTCTTTTTTGGGAGAGGGGGTCAACTTGTCACTGGACTTGTGTGTTACATGTACACCAAATCGGGTACTCCTTCGAAGCCATACCACTACCCCTGTCACTGTTTTGTGTAGGGGGGGGTGTTTGAGGAGAGAGGGTTTTAGCTGGTCAACAAGTTTGTATTGTATAGATCCCTCATAAAGTTTGCAACAATGCCACGTGCCGGTACGTGCTTACATAACAAATAAATTTTTAATCGTTTATTTAAGAATAAAAAGACAGACAGATAGATAAAATGAATGAATGAATGAATGAATAAATAGATAGATAAATACAAAAAATTATTTTTTAATACAGTGTAATAATTTTGTCGATAAATACGTTTGGCACACTAATGAAGACAGAATACTAGTATGTACAGTACATGCATTAAAATAAAATAAATAAATTAAAAGAAAAAAAAAATAATTTACTGATATTTCTCCTCTGGTGCAAAAGTATAAATGATAAATCTACAATTTTAGAATAGAGAAACGATGCTTATTAATTTGCTTATCACTAAAAATAAAAGTACGATTAGTCATGTTGTTCTTCTGTAATTGATCAATCAATTAAAAATAATTTATATGCGCGTTTAGTGCTATAAAATTATATAGATCAAGTATATATACATATATTCCTTTTTTAAATTATATTGCGGCTTTTTTTTTCAAAGAGAAAAAAATATCATATTGCATGTATTTATATATTTTCTTTTTTACAATTAGCCCCAGCATACGTAAAATATACGCGTACTGAAATTTTTATGATGGTAAAAAGATCAATGCGACGATGTTTTTCAGCCCATTTATCCTCCAAATCTACTGCAGCGTAAATTAATTTTTCAATTGAAACCGAGACATAGCATACATGACTAAGTAAACACAATTACATACATGTACACGTAATACAATATTTGAACTTCCGTAATAAATAGAAATTAACTCATTGATACTTAAATTTATATAAACAATAACTAAATTACGTTCTTTAATAACGGAAAAATTGTTATATACGTGCATAATATGTAAGTACTCCAAAAGTCATTTAATATGAACTAATGTTTACCAGCCAATCAGGGACCAAAGCTAACAGGCTCCGCCCACTTCATTTGCATACCGTTTCCCAAAGCGTACCGTCCACAAAACGAACCGTTCCGTGCAAGAAACGAAACGTACCGTCCACAAAGCGTACCGTTCCGTGCACAAAGCGAACCGTTCCGTTCTCAAAGCGTACCGTACCGTCCACAAAGCGAACCGTTCCGTGCAAGAAACGAAACGTATCGTCCTCAAAACGAACCGTACCGTGCACAAAGCGTACCGTTCCGTGCACAAAGCGTACCGAACCGTACCGTTCCAGTGGTGTAGTAGCACGGTTTAGGGTCTGTACTTACCATCCTGTGTTCTTTGTCTCCCTTTATATATTTTACATGCAATGACCACGATTACCGCCACCAGTATAACAATTCCTAACGGTATGCTAATTACAAATGGAAAAACTTTGTTCTTGCTTCTAAAAAATAAAGGCAAAATAGTCAACTAAACAGGATGGTAATTAATAGAAAAGATTTTGTGCGTATTGAAAAAAAAAATATATTCATGGAACCGTGCCTTTGCTTGACGACATTACCAAATGAATTCTGTCTGAAAAGATACAGGGAAAAAGAGATTGACCAATTATATACTAAGGTAGTACCCACACTCTTTTTTTTTCTACGATGACTTAAGAAATATTACAAAAAAAACTGTAAAATATTTTAAATCTAAAAATATATTTATTAGCTGTACCATATACTTTGGTTTTCCTCTCACCAAAAAAGATTATTATATGAAATGTTTTCAAAGGGAGTCTTGATTTAAAAGTGACTTAAGGACAGCTAATACTAAAAGATTTTTTTTCTTTTGAGGAGACTTAATATCATGTCATAAGTTTATACATATAAATAATTCTTAGATTTTTTTCATCTAAGAACTGGAAAATGAAACGGACTTGGAAAATATTTATTTAGTAATATTTCAATATAATTACAAATATGGACAAACCACACTCAGTACAGGTTTACAGATGTAAACGTTACCTTGGTGCTAAAAGTGTAATATAAACTTTAGAAAAATATACCAAGCCAGGTGAATTTTATTAGGAGAAGCAAAAAGGTAAAAGTCAGCCTATGTGATAATGCTGAAGTTTTTTCATTTTGTTTTCCTCGTAAAATTCACCTGGTTTGGCATATTTTTTAATGTTTATATTACACGTTTAGCACCAAGGTAACATATTCTGAAAGTTGTTTTCATCTTTAAACCTTTAGAAAGTGTTATTATTTGTTTTTAATTGACGTATTACTAATATTTTCCAAGTTTATTTTCCCCAGTTCTTAAGAGAAAAAAAATTGAAGAATTATCCACTTTTCTAAACCTGTGACATAAAATTAAGTCTCCTCCAAAGAAAAAAAATGTTTGTATCATTAGTATTGAAGAAATTTGAATCAACGGGTAAAAAGACTTGCTTTAATCAAAAATAATAAATGATAAAAAGAAGGGACATAACTTCACCAAAGAAATCCACCCTATCTGTCATCATTGAAGAAAGGACTTTACCTTGCCTTTTCATTTTCTGTTTCTTTTTCATTTTCAATATTACCAAAACAAACAGGATCTAAGAAAAAAGTAAAAAAAAAAAAAAAAAGAAAATATTATCGAAAATGTTTTAAATGTTTTAATTTAAATATCTAAAACGTATTATGTATAAAAAATGATAGCATTTTAATATAATAGAAATAAAATTAAAATAAAGGCTTCACTACAGTTTTGTAGCATATGAAAAATATTTCATAATAACATAAATAATCGTACATTTGTACACCTCATCACTTTTGAAAGGGTTTTTCGGACAGTTCGTTGTATTGCATATCTTCCAGTGAAGATGAAAATCGTGTGTGAAGATTGGGCAATATTCTATCAAATATATAATTTTTAACATTTCATCAGGTTATTTGAAGATGAAATCTCAAATTATGGTACAGTTATATATTTTTCATTATATTTTGCATCGGCATCGACATCTCTTTCCGATGTTCTACACCTTACAGTGCTATTGTAAAAAATTATATTGAGACAATTTATCAGAATGTTCGCATGAGAATTTTTTGCAAAAAACATAGTTGAAATTTATTTGGAGTATTGCTTAAACAAACTGACTGATCACAGCATATAAATATACGGTTATTTCTGAATCACAAAAAGATAAAAATATGCTTTCGATTTATCTATTGAAAGGTTTATAAAAGAATGCTTGTTTCTAAGAAAAAGTTTACTACTCCATGCATGTTTCAAGGAAACTAATAGAATTTACAATCACATGCACGATACGTAAAATTATGTATGACTTATTTCTCCTCAATAGAACGAGGGCGGTTCAATAAATATTGTCCTGAAGTCTTTGAGATGCAACGTAGAAATCTTATGGCTTTAAGCTTGACTTTCTTTCATGATTGAAACTTCAATAAATTTAAAACAGTTTTGTGACCAATTTGCATTAGATAGTTTTATTGTGAGAAGCTGGAAAACGGGCTATTCGAGACACAGCGCAGAAAATGAATGGTAAAGAAGCTGTAAACTAGAATGTAATTAAACGCTTAATTAAAGCTGCTGTAAAACCTCTTCAGGATGTCGAAGAAATATTCACTGAAATATTCGAAATTTACACCAAGTAATGTCTGCCTTAGAGGCACATGAGCAGGTTTCAATGAAAAATTATATAATGGGCATCGGAAATTGATACGATCCTTGGCGACAAGGACTAACAACAACAAATAATGTACCTTTTGCCAAAATTTGACAGATTATCTCTCCTGTTGTTTGCCTGATTTTAAGACACAGCAAATTTAATATGCATCATTTTTGGGATAGTTCACACTGTTTTTAAGACTTATTTGACAGTAAAAAAAAACTAATTTCTTAATGTTCACTCTATGTTTTAAAAATTTAGTGAAAACGACAGCGTGCAAGGATATGTACACAATTATTTTTAAAAATCAGAAATTGTAGTTTTCCATGTTTGTCTGAAAATTAAACAGATAATGAAACTTGATTCCATTGATGCTTTAAACCCTCAAAACAAATTTGAAATAAGATCCACTTGACAGAAATATAAACAAGTTTGAGAAGAGCAGGTGATTGCATGATCACAAAGACAATTTCATATGCCATTTTCTTAAATATTAGTGGTCTTGTTGTTCAAATGTTTATTCGGATCGAAAGGCAGTTCAACTTCTGGAGGAGACAAGATGGTAATTTTTTGCAAAAAATGAACGGTTTATGAGAGGAAGAAACCAAAATCAGAAATCCACTACATTAAATTCTTCATGACAAACCCACACGCCCTGAAGAGTTAAGGTGTTTTGGGGATAAAGGGAAAGTAAATGTTTTGTCACACCAAAAATATTTGCCACTTCTTTCACCCTCTGACTTATCAGAAAGGAAGTCCAGAAAATCATATTCCAGTACACAAAGGGTCATTCACAAAGATGTGTTCTGGAAGAAAACAGGAAATGGATTAAAAAATGTTTGAGAAATGTATTTCGAATGAAATAGACTATCTCAGTGAAATAACTTTTTGTTGTTTCTTTCCAAGCACCGATGATGTTATTTATTGAACAACCCTCGTATATTCCAATTTTCTTCAAAGCATAAAAAACTAATCTGCCACATTTATAAATTTAAATAAGTATTTTTCATTCTTTAACATAAAGGTGATTTGAGAAGATAAAAATGCCCTCTGAATTTTATATCCGACAAAAGAATGCTATACGTAAATTTGATTCTTATCCATACCGGGGTAATTTTTTTTTAACTGCATCAACCGACAATTTTGATACAGAGATCGTATTTTACAATAATGAAAAAAAATACAGCGTGTCTCGTCAAACATTTCTTTTGAAAAAGATGTTTGGCATATATTATATTGAGATTATATTCTTTCAAGAAAATATGACTGAAAATTTTAAACCATTCAATTTTGTTGTTCTCTCAATACACTTCTCTTTCCTGGTTTTCCTGACCTCTACAAGTAAACAGTGGTAAACACCAGAGGTTTTACATGTTTTATTTTTGGACCTGGTATTCCATTCTGTTTCATTAGTGGGACAGCGAATTGTTGACAACACACCTGCAAAAATGTATACACTTGTTTTTCGTATCCGCATAAAGGGTTATATAGAAAGTCTGGATGGATCTTAGTTCAAATATTGAATTTATTTATATTCAATTGGGAAAACCCAAGCATATCATATAAATTTTACTTCATACAAATATAATTTTAATTATTTTCTTAACATGTTAAAAATAAAATGAAAAAAGTAGATTGCATTTTTTCTCTAGCAATTTAAAACTCATTTGATTTAGCTTTTATGCCTGAATTACACGATGTAAAATGAATTTCTTTATGTTTACAAAATGTGGGACAAAACATCTTACCGACTGTATTAAGGATCAGTATCAATTGGCTTAAATGTCTCATTTGTGATGTGATGTGTTTCATCTAAAAAAAAAATCTAACCATAAAAATGTAAATAGCTTAAGTGAATGGGTATTTTGGAGGATATTTTTAAATATTTTGAATTTATTTACCTGCTCAACTGTTTATTATTGTTTGGTATTTAAAAAACTTTAACGTTAAGTAAAGACCTGACATCGATGTCAAGGTCTAATTAGCATGGCGTCAGAGTGAATCGATAACTTTGCAAAGAGAACAATATAAGTAAATAAATGTTAATAATCTTATGTATCTTATGACCTTAGTCTTTAAGCTTATGAAAACAATTACTTTAACAGGTCGGTTTTATCTATTCCGAGGGGAATTGGGAGAAAAAGCCATTTACTGTTTATTATAGTTTCCTTGAATTCAAAACATAACAAAAATAATTTCCTTCATGATTTAAATCATCCTGCTCAACAACCTCTACATATCATACTCACAAAATATAGATGAATCCCAGTATCCAAGTAGTCTGTAACAATTGATACTATAATATTTTGGTTAAATAATAGATAAAATATGTTGTTTTTGATCACAAAAAGGATTGGGATTCCCAGCCTTTTGTCAATAATCTAAAAATACTTGCAGTGAAAATGCATGTTTCTAATTTTAAAAGTTTACAGTGTAAATACGATATTTAAACTTCACATTAAATTGGGAGGATAGAATTTTTTCCAAGGGTTTAGATTGCACAACTTCTCCCTATAATTCTATACTTCAAAGGTATACTTTTTATTTGTATAAACGTTTATTCTCTTGGTCTTATACTCTTGGTCTAATTTTTTTTTAAAGATTTTGATTAAATTTTTATTTTTTTTTTTATTTCAGAGAGGCTTTCACTTCACTCCAAGCGCTAATTTTTAACTGTTCCATTTTTGAAGTAACTGTGTCAAAAATGTACGGAATAAAATAAATAGAAAATCAATTCATGTACAATTAGTATTCACAACAACAACCTGACATTCGATAAAACAGCTGTGCTGGAAAGTGATATCTTGAAACCTAATTTTTCGTTTGTTGAATTTCCAACGTATTTCACAATGTGTTCTCAATTTTCGTAAAAATGATAAGTTTAAATGTTTAAGTCAAACAAACACAGCGTTCACGGTAGCTCAGTTGGTAGAGCGCTCGCTTCGTGATCAGGAGGTCGTGAGTTCGTATCTCGGTCGCGACTGACCCAGTCGATAAAAATGGGTATCAACTGTTCCTTCGCTATGCGCTCGGCACTTTGAAGTGAAAGTCGCGGGTCCTTCGGATGAAACCTTAAAATTCGAGGCCCCGTGTCAGCGGTAGGCGTTGGCACGATAAAGATCCTTCACTGCTCAATGGCCCTGAGTGCCGAGTAAAGGTCAAAATTTGAAGCCCTTCACCGGCATACGGTGACGTCTCCATATGAGTGAAAAATTCTCGAGAAGGACGTAAACAATATACAATCAACAATCTCCAAATCCCACATCTGAATCACAATTAATTCTATTTAAATACTGTAACTCTGACAATACATGTAATAAACATTTTTAATGTTAGTTTCCTGAGACCTAAGGCAGAAAGAATGGGGCATTGGGTTGGTTTCAACACAGAACAGGATTCAGACAGACAGAAGGTATCAACAGGCTCATTGAGATTGATCGACAAGTTTTTTGCTGTACTCATCAGATTAAGACTCGGCCTCCTCACGTCAGACATAGCTTACAGATTTTGTATTTCAGAGAATACGTTTTCGAAATACTTTTCCACCTGGATTTCTTTACTCTCTTAATCCATTTCCTACCCGAGATATTATTGACAGAACCATGTCATTATCTTTCAAAGCTAAATATTCTTCCGTTCGAGTTATACTTGACTGTTCAGAGCTTTTTATACAGAGGTCTTTAAATCTTGAAAATCAGAGTTTAACATATTCTAGCTATAAACACCACACAACTGTAAAGTTTCTTGTGGGTATTACACCATCAGGTGTTATTTCTTTTGTTTCTGTAGGCTGACCAGGTAAGATTTCGGACAGAGAATTGACAATGAAATCAGGTATCTTAGATTTAATAGATGAAAATGACAGTGTAATGGCTGGAAAAGGTTTTAGAATATGAGATCTGTTGGGGAAAAAGAAATGAAAATTGAACATTCCCCCATTTAGAGGTGTTTGTCCGCAGTTTTCACCAGATGAGGTATTTGAAACACAGGAGATAGTTTCTTTTATAATTCATGTAGAGAAGAGCATAGGTATAGTGGAATTTTTTTCACATTTTAGATGGTGTTATGCCTTTTATCTTGAAAACACTTATCACCAAGATTTTTCAGGTTATTTGTTGGCTTACAAATCTGGATGTTCCACTTGTTAATGAAAATATTTGTACAATCAAATATACGTTATAGTGCAACTCATTTCAGACAAACAATATTGATGATTGTGAGTTATGAATTTCAATACACGTTTTAACTACTTATTTTTCCTACATGCAATTACCGGTATCATATTCTCAGCTTATTTGATGTCTAATAATTTGAATGGGAAAAAAAATTTACTAGAAGAACTTTGATGTGAATTCCCATAAGTTCTACAGTGTATTAAAGAAAGAAGGAGTAATTAAAAAGATATTAAATTAAAATTAATAGTACCTACAAATAACAAATTGAGGTTGACTGACATTGTAATCACATTAATATTTCAATGGATTTGATAGTTTATTATTTTACTGTCATACCAATGTTGAATACGAATTAATATTTCAATGGATTTGATAGTTTATTATTTTACTGTCATACCAATGTTGAATACGAACATTTTTTTTTATTTGCAGATCTTTTTAGACAACTGTGAAGTGAATATTGTACTCTTTTTAGATAAGGCATTATCTTATAAACTTCTTAATCTAACAGATGTTAAACCAATAAGAAATATTTGTAACTTAATATGTGATGCAGCTGACATAATACAGTGATTAGATTTGAATACTTTATTTGAATATGTATGACTCTTGCCACATGTGGGTTTTTTGTCAATAAATAAATTCAATTAATCGAAAATTTTAATTGAGCTCATTTAATGGAAAACAGTTAATGAATTGTTTTGAATATATGATTCACATCACTTCATCCAGTGTTTGTTTTAATTACTTCTTTGCTTTGTGATGCATATAAAAATCAATAAGTCTAGGCATCATAGATGACACGAACTCTGAATCAAAATATTTCATGTCAATACAAATATTGTTTTGCACAGGCTGTCCAAACTACAAAGTCACACCAGAGATGTCCCGTAATTGTAAGTTCCCGTTGGACTTGTAGATAATACTTGTAAATCTTTTTGAGACGTGGCCCATCCAGACTCCCTTCCAGTCAAAAATTGGGATATCCCATTGCAATAATCTCATCCACTTCCGTCCTGTTTTCTTGGGTTCCCTGGATGGAGTAGGGGCACTTAATTTCAAACAGACCTATGTTGTCACCATCAAAAACCTTTCCATCAATAGAAGCACTCAAAATGCATGATCTGCACTTAAAGTGAGGCCTGTATCTTCAATTGAAAATTTGTTGTTAATGGGAGACTTCAAATTTACATAGTCAAATCGTGCCTAGACTTCCTTTTCCTGTCCCCATTGAACAGCTGGTGGTAGAGCAACATACCAAAAGAAATAAAACAGAACTTAATTTCTTTTTTTTTTTAAAAAATGGCTGGCAGGGGTATACAAACACTGGGACAAATGTATAACACAAACTTATTTTGTACCACAAAGGGTCAAAAACGTTTTAATTGTACTACATATGTTAAAAGTGTGGTAATCATACTGAAACACATGCTAACACTAATTAATTTTACATGAAATGCAGCTGATTCAATTCTGCGATGTTTATTATTTTACTCTAAAGTTTATTATTCCCCTGTTTACTATTATGATATTTTGCTTTCAGGATTATGATTTTCCAATAGAAACTTTCAATTAAAATACAAAGTTAACATAATCCTTGTTGGCCCAATTTGGGCAAAATTAATTTTCTAAACCCAATGAACAATTTCTTACATCGCAGGTTCAGAATACATTAGTACATGTATATAGAATTAACCGTAAAGAACACAACTTACTTAGAAAGACTGCAACCCTCCACAGTTTGCTTGATTAAAGAATTTGGATTGGGTCCAGCTTTCAAAACATCACCGAACATTGAACTAGTCAGCCAACCAATGTGTAGTTTCGGCCACATGTCAGATGTTCTCTGATCTCTTGTACTCTTCTAAGTGAACTCTACCAATTAATGGCCAATTGCAAATGGGGGTGTTGAAATTTGAAAATTTATAAAGAACTTAATGTACATAACGTGTAATACTTAGTTTGAACTTAAAAGAAGGTACAGATCAAATATATAACAGGTCACTGTTCAAAAATGTTTTAAGATGTTTTTTTTAAATCAACATTGATGATTATTAACAGATTTCCTTACCATTACTTTCACAGAAGATGAGACTTTTCATCCTCGTAATTATGATATCCTCAAAATCCTGGACCTCCATCTCTTTAATAGCATCTGGAACAGCATCAAGAATATTCCACAAGTGTGACATACCTTAAACAACAAATGCATAAAGTTGTCCTATATTCTTTTTAACCAACATCAATTTAGGACAAATGATAATTAACAAATGATATTTAAAACATTTTTTCCCAAAAATCACCAAAAAATAATGGCTTAACTAAATGTCTATAATATGAATTAGTTTAGCCACATAAAATTTCATGTTAATTTAAAGTTTCTTTATAATGAGGCCCAATAAAGCGATAAAACTTTAAATTAAAATGGTAATAATAAAAATTAAAAAGAAGAAGTAATCAAAGAAAATAAACAATTTCTTAATACATTAGAATATTTATACGTTTCATTCATATTAAAAACTGAGGTCCAAGAATAGAACCATTTCATGCTTAGTTTGGACTTTTAGTAAGGCATGGCATTTTAGGCGCTACATGTTTACCGCCTGTCATCAAATGGGGAATAAATTCTCATTCGTTAAGAAATTAAGAAAATCAGATACTTTAAATTGTTGTTAAATACAACAATGAGATGACTTAGGCTCCACCTCTTTGCAGGATGAGACAATGTAATTGGTTATTCGATACATTATTTTGCATTTGCCCAAATTTCTATCTCATTACATTTCAACAGTGAAGGTGATCTGTGTAAATTTCAGAAGCTAATTATGTAACGTCCTAACTGAAAGTCCAAATAAAGCTTAAAATGGTTCTATTAACCAATCCATGCATCGAAATTTTGTGCGTTAAAGTATGTATCCTTAAATTCCAGGAATAAATCATATTATGAATTTTTATTTAGAATTGTAATATTCATTAATTCCTACTTGTTTGTGGGAAGGTATCTCTTAAGTCTTTCAACTGCTGCAGAGTATTATGTAGATCCATCTTTTTGTCATCTGAGTGGCGAGGATCAAGAGAGGCAGCTGGATAATCTTCAGTTTCTGTAGGTAGAAGCATGGACTTTTTGGGTAAAGAGCTCATGGTTGGATTCACCTGGCGCCCAGGAATGATCCATTTA